CTACTATCTCTAGAGATAGTAGGAACTGCTGATGCTGGAGAATCTGAGATAACACAGTGTGGAGCTGGATGAACACAGCAGGCCAGGCAGCATCAGAGGAGCAGGAAAGCTGACGTTTCAGGTCTGGACCCTTCCCCTTCTCCTTCCCCATTTCTGAAGAAGGGTCCAGAGCTGAAATGGCAGGTTTCCTACTCCTCTGATGCTGCCTGGCCCGCTGTGTTCATCCAGCTCTACACCTTGTTATCTCTGTAAAGAAACATAAACAGCTGCTGACTCCCTGCACTGCAGCTTTCATTTCTGGTGACCTACAGATTCTTGTTCAGCTCCTGTGTGCTGCAGACCTGCGATATTATTTAACAGGGTAACTTGTAGCGTGTTGCTCCTGCCCAACGCGGTGATATTGAAGAACCATCCGAGTTAAATCCTAGAGGTCTCCAGCAAGGATGAAGGCCCTTCGGCCCACTGAGTCTGTGCCATTCAAAAGCAAGCACCTCACTTCAGAAATCCTCCTTTTTACCTGCTGCTATCTCTCCTCTCTGTTCATGGTTAAATGGACCAGAGACTCATCAATGCCACAGGGTCTAAGTTGCTTCTCAACTACCAAGACAGTCTTAACAAATTGTTCGCTGTATTCTTTTGGGAAGCAGTACCCAAACTGCTACTCAACCTCCTACTATCTCATAAATACAGGGGAGAATATTCCTCCCAGGAAGAGATAGCGAGAGGGGAAACGACTGAGTGAGCTGTCCCCAGAGACAGAGAAAGAGACTCATCTCCTTGTTACCATCTCACCCAGTCAGTGCTGAGAGAGAAGATCCACTGGGAACTTTCTTCAGCAGCTCGTGTGGTGGGTCCTGGTCTGGTCCTTCGGCAGCTCTCAGCCTGGTCTCTCAACGGCTCTTGGCCCGGTCTCTCGGCGGCTCTCGGCCTGGACTCTCAGCGGCTCTCGGCCTGGTCTCTCAGCGGCTCTCAGCCTGGTCTCTCAGCGGCGCTCAGCCTGGTCTCTCGGCCTGGTCTCTCGGCGGCTCTTGGCCTGGTCTCTCGGCGGCTCTCGGCCTGGTCTCTCGGCGGCTCTCGGCCTGGTCTCTCGGTGGCTCATGGTCGTCTCTCGACAGCTCATGGTGGTGTCTCGGCAGCTCATGGTGGTCTCTCGGCAGCTCATGGTGGTCTCTCGGCGGCTCATGGTGGTGTCTCGGCTCGGTGTGCAAGTGGATCCTGCCTGGGCTTGTTCCCGAGGCACTGGGGCAGAACGGACAGACAGTAGTTTCAGCAGCAGGGACGGTATATGTAGCATTAGCATCGAGAACAGACAGCTGAGGTTTCCCAGAGAGCGAGATAAGTGGAGGACTCATCAAAGACTGTTGAACTTTTAACTTCTTCCCTTACTTTCCTTGTTTAAACTATGAAAAACTTTAATGAAAACTATTACCTATTTCATTATTTTTCTACTACTCTATGAAATAATGCTTAACTTTTTAATGCTCATTTCTCTTACTACTTTGTACCTAAACGTTTTTTGTAGGTACCTTAGTACCTAAGATGGCACCATGTGTAGCAACATTATACATTTTTCACTGTGCTCCCGTACTTGAGTACACATGACAATAAAATCCAAAATCTAAAACTAAAAATCTAAGGCCCTTAATTGTTTGAGTATCAGTCACTATTATAGTTCCTCATTTTTGATACAACCAAGTGGCTTATTGGTCTTATCAGAGTGGAGCAAAGGGTCAGTCACATTGCTGTGGAAATGAAGTCACTACATGGTCAGATCTGGTACGCAAATTTCCTTCCCTAAATGATATTATTGAGCCAGTTGTGTTTCAATGACAACCCAGATATTTCATAGTCGCAGTTAACCGATACTCTGCTTGTTATGTCAAGCTTATCCAAATTACTAAATTTTAATTTCCATGATGGGATTTAAATCCATAGCTCCCAGACTGTCTCTGGCTTGCAGTTCAGTGACATACCCTCTACGCTACCGAGACACAGTACCCCAACTGCACAATGATCTCAACAATTATAAGTAAAAACTTGCTTGTAATACTTGGGATTGACAGCTTTAATTAAATGTGAAAACAATTCCATGGTACATTTAATACATATTAAAAATGTAATGTGCCCCCACCCCAATGATCTGTTTTTGTTAACTACTCTCTGAAATGGGATCTGAATGAATAGAATTGGTGGTGTAGAATGGGAGTCAGATCTTGAGGTAGTGAAAACATAGAATCTGACAGCATGGAAGGAGGCCGCTCTGTGTCTGTGCTGCCTCTTTGGCAGTGCTATCCAGTTAAAGCCATGCTACCATTCTATCCCTATAGCATTGGAAATGTTTCCTTTTAAAGGACAGGTATCTAATTCCTTTCACCAGTTATTATTGATATTGCATCCACCATCCTTTTCAAATCATTGCATGGCACTGTGCAAAATTCCCCCCATCTGCCCTTTGCATCTCTTAAACCTGTGTGCTCTATCTACCAACATTTCCTCCCCATTAGAGCAGCCCCTCATTTTGAACACCTACCATCAACTTGCCCTGCTCTGATCAGCCCCATTGCAGTTCAACATTCCTAGCATCATTCTAGCAAATGTTGTGGATTTTCCCTCCAGTTGTCTTAAAACTGGTTATTCACTGCCCTGTCTGGTGAAAAAACATTTCTCACTTACTTACCTGATCAAAAATCTAGATGCTTGAGAGGCAACATTATCACCAGAAATATGTACCAATATAAAATAGTTGAATTTCATCAAGAAAAGCCTTTTGTAATTGCTCCAATATGTGAACCAATTTGTTTCTCTTTTCTTACCATCAGTGCGAATGTCTTTTGCCCGAGTTTGTGTCTGCCTGATTTTTTTTCACAACAAAACTCATTTCCCCAATCAAAATTAAGCCCAGCACATCCTGAGCGTTATAGAGAAACTTCTGATAAGAGAGACATGTTACAAACACAAGGAAAGACAAGATCAAAGAGCATGAAAATAGCAAAAGGGGCTTGAATGATCACAGTGCTTCAGTAACCACAGTTGAACTGGTCCCGAGGAACTTTGCCTATTTACAATAAACAATTTTGCTTGTTTTTTTCTGCAACTGGTTCATTGAAAACACACCGTCAGTGGGTCTGAGCTCTCAGACCAGTTAGAGAATTTTTCCTCTTAAAACAACTTCCAAGTGTGATCAGTTGAGGACAAACTTGCCGAACCCTTTTCACTGAGCAGTGTAAAATGTAAGAAAAGACACACACACACAAAAAAGCAGGGAACTTGGAAACTTATTCTTCCTGTTTTTCATGTGCAAAATTTGCTGTTATGTTTTGTGCTCTCCCTGCATTTGCAAACACTTACATAGAATCATAGAATCCCTAAATCCCTACAGTGTGGAAACAGGCCTTTGGCCCAACAAGTCCACACCGACCCTAGGAGCATCCCACCCAAGACCCGTACCCCTATAACCCACCTAATCTACACATCCCAGAACACCAAGGGCAATTTAGCATGGCCAATCCACCTAACCTGCACAACTTTGGACTGTGGGAGGAAACCCATGCAGACATGGGGAGAATGTGCAAACTCCACACAGACAGTTGCCTGAGGCTGGAATTGAACCCGAGTCCCTGGTGCTATGAGGCAACAGTGCTAACCACTGAGCCACCCCAAAAAATGAGACTTTCCAAGGCTTACCACTCACTTCACCAGGAGGAAGGCTACACCTAGATTTGAACTCAGATCACAGAGTTCAGAAACCAGTATGCTCACCATTACACCATGGTAACCACAGCCCCTAAAAAGCCCCTTTCTAAAGCCATTTTGATTTGGGCAATATTTAAACATGGCTAGTGGCAGCTTTAAAGAGGCATTATGTCTTTTGTACTTGGTATTTTACACGCTGTATGTTGAATAACCCCCAGTGTTACCTATTCTTGCTGTGCCATAACCAGTGGCTCTTATAGGTATTAGTAGGGGCTACCTGCTGGAGGGTTAGTATCTTGTTTTCAACTTACCACATCGAGCTGCAGGAAGTATAGGGTGATTAATGCGTCTCTACAACATTCCTGAGGGGCGATATGGTCTACACTCACCACCCCCACTATTTACCACCTCACGCTCTCCCCCTTTACAACGGCAAAACAATTCTAGCTGGAGGGTGCAGGGAAAGGTGTAACTAATGGTGCATGCTGCAAGATTGCCTGGTGCAACGAGATCCAATCCAGCATCATTTAAAAGAAGGAAGCTTTGCCTTCATTAGAATAGTAGGCATAGGATCTTCATAAAGTCACATTAATGTCACTGCAGCATCACATTGGATGCAGTCAGCTCTGAGGTTAAGATGAAAGAAAGACTGTTTCAGATGCTCATGGTTAATGTCTTCTAATAGACACAGCACAACAAATGAGATCCTTCAGCTTTGGGCAACATTTACGCTGTGCAGGAGCAGATTATTGTTACAATGGCAAGTCTCCATTATATCTGCTGCAGTGCAAGTTTGTGCTTTCAATTTATCTCAACAACACATTTCCCTGTGCAACGCTAAAGGTGACTTAATCAATGATCAAGCAAAGGCATTTTTTGGTGGTTTACCAGAACCAAATTACCATACCACCCTTTAAAGTAAAGCACAATGTCTTCTGCAATACATACAGAGATCAACTGTAGATAATCTTTCAGAATCATACATATAGTTTATTTTTACAGAAAAGTGCTTGCTTCTCCCATTTACCTTCCCAAGTTACACAAAGCAGGCAAACCACTCAATCTCTAACAATGTTGCTCTGTAGCCAGCCACACTAGGGTGGCCTGCATAACTCTTCATTTTTCTCTCTCTCTCACAAACTGTCGGATTTCTAATTGGGTCAGCCTGTTACCCGAGACTATTTTTAGAAAAAGTATATATTGCAAGCAACTGTCTCACTCCTGTGCAAAGGCAATACAAAACTGCACAACACTGCAATATTTTCTCCTCTTCCCAGGAGCAAGGAGAGACACTGCTTTTGTCTTACCAGGCTCAGTGCAGTTCTTGTACTGACGTGATGTTGTCCTGGCATCCGTGGCATTCTCATCGCTGTCTTCCATCAGCCTCCGGCCGATCCGCTTGTCCTCCACCTCCGAAGCATAACTCACCACAAAATAGCCTGGAATAGCAATGTCAGGGAGTTAAAACAGAAATAAATGTCCGATTTCGGTAAAATTACATCAAGACTTTCTTCGGATTAAGTTTAGCTTCTCATGTTCCTGTGCAGTGGACTACTCAACACCTGCTTTGCATTTAATAGAAAAGATGCAAAAGACTGGAAGAAATGAGACAAATCCCACTCTCTTTTGTGGCCTGGGCTCCTTACAGATATTAGAATAATACAAGTGCACTTTACTCAATGTAACTCATCCTTCAAAAGAACCAATGGGTCCTCCTCCTGCCACTGCATCTATCTTCTTTATGACATTGTGTTTTCCAGCAGGCCATTCAGCCCAACAGGTCTATGTTGTTGCATGTACTGTGACACATCGGGGTCATGTTTATCTGGTGACATAGTAGCTCAGTGGTTAGCACTGCTGCCTCACAGCACCAGGGACCTGGGTTTGATTCCACCCATGGGTGACTATCTGTGTGGAGTTTGCACATTCTCCCTGTGTCTGCATAGGTTTCCTCTGGTTTCTTCCCACAATCCAAAGATGGGCAGGTGAGGTAAGTTGCCCCATAGTGTTCAGAGATGTGTAGATTAGGTGGGTTATAGGAGGATGGGTCTGGGTGGGATGCTCTGAGGGTCAGTGTGGATTTGTTGGGCTGAAGGGCCTGTTTCCACACTGTAGGGATTCTATGATACTCCACATGAGCCCCCAGCCCTTACTTTGTTAACATATCTTCTCAGGTTTAACTAGCTCGCCCTTGATTATATTTATTCCACTTAGCTCACTGATTTCTCACGATAGCAAATACTACATTCTAACCAGTCAAAGTTACAGAGTATGGCCTAAAAGTCTTACTAGGTTTATTTGAGACTTTGTCATACTAATGAGCACTAGTCTTGGACTTTCCCACAAATGCCAACAGTTTTTCTATGTTGAATGATTCCAAAATTATTCCCACTCCTGAACCTATTCAGAGGTTCATTTCCTCGCTCCATTGTGTCGAGGAAGTGTCTCCTAACCTTGGGCCATGATTTATCTTTTATGAGTTGATATGTGTTTGGTCAGAAATAAAGTTCTGCCAAGAATTCATGCCCCACTTTCTGCCTGGCTCCGATCTAACACTGTATCCCTTCAAGCAGGCTGCAAATCCAACAGGAGTCATAATGCTTTCTTGTCATCGATCACTTGGAATCTCCTTCGTGGTGTTTTGCTCCAAGCTTTGGGCAGGTTCATATCCCATTGAGCAGCTGGGATTTGAATTGAATTTAAATTTAATTAATAAATCTGGAATACCCAGTGCTGGTCTCATTAATGGTGATTGTCAAACCCTTTCTTGGTTCATCTCACTTTTCAAGGCGACCACAGCACAGTACTGTTTTCAACACAATGACCTTGATTTATCCAAAATATTTCAGTATTCTGTTACACTTAATGATCGCTATTCCAACACAAGGACTGGCATGAGTGATAAATATATTAACTCTTCCAAACTATTCCAGTCAATGTTTTGAGTACTCACTTAGAGACAGTAAGAACTGCCGATGCTGGAGTCAGAGATAACACGGTGTGAGCTGGAGGAACACAGTAGGCCAGGCAGCATGAGAGGAGTAGGAAAGTTGACGTCTTGGGTCAGGAAAAATCTGAAGAAGGGTCCCGACCCGAAACGTCAGCTTTCCTGCTCCTCTGATGCTGCCTGACCTGCTGTGTTCCTCCAGCTCCATACTGTATTTTGAGTACGTCTCCTTTTTTGAACCAAAATCAAACTGCATCCACTGTACCACTCCCTAGTCACAAACAGTGTCTCAGCTCTTATGGTGCTCTAAGGATTGTCCACGAGACTTAACTGTTTTTTTCCCAACTCATGCCTGTGTTTGACCAAATTGCATTCAATTGCAAAGATAGGGACAATGGCACTAACCCCCTGGGACATTCACCAGCACAATAAAACCTAGCACCAGTGCACTAGCTAGAACACCTGAAAACCTGCTTTCAGCCAATCTCTGATCCAGACTATAAAGAAGCACCTCTTCTTTCTATCCTCACCAAGCACTCACCTGATAGTTGCTACGAATGCCGCTAAATAAAATGTGACACATTGAAATTGGATAGAAACCAGCGGTGCGTTCATCAGCTATATCAATCAGCTCAGTGGCAGGGGATGGCATGGTGGTATCACTGGATTAGTAATTCAGAGGTCCAGGCTAATGGTCTCAGCTACACGGGTTCAAATCCCACCATGGCAGTTGGATTTAAACTCAATAAATCTGGGATACAGTTGATTGGTTTAGGATTGATGTTCTTACCTGGGACTCTGGGCACAAATGGCCCAGCAAGCCAACAGCAGTCAGGGGCAAACAACAAATGTTGGCAAACACAGCCTGGTGCGGGTTTTATACATTGTACTAAATAATAGAAGGAGGAACGAGATATTCAGAGGCTCCTGATGTCATAGATCAGATCATAGAATCCCTACCGCGTGGGAAAAAGGCCCTTCGGCCCAACAAGTCCACGTTGCCCCTCAGAGCATCCCACCCAGACCCACCCCCTCAGCTACACAACCCTGGACACTATGGGCAACGTAGCATGGCCAATCCACCTAACCTACACATCTTTGGACTGTGGGAAGAAACCTGCAAAGACACAGGGAAAATGTGCAAACGCCACACAGACTGTCGCCCGAGGGGGAGTCGAACCCGGGTCCCTGGTGCTATGAAGTAGCAGTGCTGACCACTGAGCCACCATGTCCTTGGCTAAGATGAGCTGATCCAGTGTAGACGTATTACTATTTAGTTATCAACTACTGATGGGCCCTTATGGGACAGTGAGAATACAGATTCTTCTTGTTAGAGTTGGAGGGAGAACCAGATTCAAAGGAAGCAATTTTAACTTGGCCAAAATATTATTCCTTCCTCAAGTTTTGGACAAATGCCCACACACTTGGTGAAGGTGAGACACCGTGACCTTGGAGTGCTAAATACGGAAGAAAAACACACGAAAAGACACAAAGCACTCATTTACATTGTGTCCTTCATGATCGAGGGAACCTGAAAGCACTTTGCTGTCAATGAGTGATCACTTTTTTTTAATGAAGGAAATGCAGCGGCCAAGTTTGAACACAGCAAGCTCCCATGAAAAGCAATGTGATAACGACCAGCTAAATAAATGCCAGTTAAAGGGATAAGTATTGCCTGGGACGCAGAGGAGACAACTCTGTTCTAAATGGCATGGCATGTTTCCACGTTTAATTGCCTAACTCTAAGACGTCAGCCCAATGACTGCCCCTGTGTCAGTGCTGCACTCTTTCAGAGTTGCGCTGGGAGCATCAGACTTTAATGATGCGCTCAAGTCTTTGGCCTGAGGTTCAAAAGGCCACAATTTCTGGCTCAGAGGGCGAGGGCGCTACCAACTGATCTACAGCGAAGACCTTAAATAGAGTCATAGACATAGGGTCGTACAGCACAGAACCCTATCCTTTGGCCCAACCATTGGTCACTGACATTCTTCATCCTGGGGCCAAGATGACGGGATACCACTGTCACAGAGCCACTTCATCAGGAACAGCACCAGACATACTTACAAGTGAGGTGTCAGCCCACTGAAGCTCCAAAATTGGACCACTTGCATGCCAGACAGCATAAACAGCATGAAATAGACAGGGCTAAGTAATTCCACAGCCGACCAATCAGGTCTAAGTTCTGCAGTCCTGTCATGAATGGCAGGGGACAATTAAACAACTAAATTGGAGGAGGAGGCTCCACTAATATCCCCAACCTCAGTGATGGGTAAGCCCAACACAGTCAGTACCAAAAGGCAAGGCTGAAGCATTTACAAGCATTAGCGAGACCTGTTGAACATTCATCTCAGCCACCTCCTGAGGTTCCTCACATCAGAAATGCCAGTCCTCAAACAAATTCACTCCACATGATATCAGGAAATGGCTGAAAGCACTGGATACAGTGAAAGCTATGGACCCTGACAATATTCCAGCAATTAGACTGAAGACAGAATGTGCCACTCCCCTAGCCAAGCTGTTCCACTATAGTCACAACACCAGTATCTACCCAGCAATGAGGAAAATTGCCCCAGTATGACCTGTACACAAAAAGCATGATGAATCCAACCCACCAACTATCGCCTCATCAGTCTACTCTCAATCATCAGTAAAGTGATGGAACAGTGCGATCAAGGAACATTTACTCACTAAGGACCTGCTCAGTGATGCGCAGTTGGGTTCCACCAGGACCATTCAGCTCCTGTTCCAAATAAGAAAAGACATGGTGAACTGAAGAGGACAAGTGAAGGTGACTGCCCTTGACATCAAGTCAGCAATTACCCATACGTGGCAACAAGGAGCTCTAGCAAAGCTGGATTCAATACACAAACTCTCTGCTGATTGGAGTCATACCTGGCACAAAGGAAGATGGTGGTGGTTATTGAAGGTCATTTATCTCAGCTTCAGGAATACCTCGTCATACATATTACCTAATCAATACCATTCTACATCACTGAAACAGAAGGAACTTGAACTCAGGCCTCCTTGCTTAAGATAGGGGCACTGTCACCGCACCAAAGGAACCCTAGTTCCTCAGAGTAGTGTCCTACGCCCAACTATCTTCAACTGCTTCACCAATGACCTTCGTTCCGTCATAAGGTCAGAAGTAGGGATATTCGCCAATAACTGCGCAATGTTCAGCACCATTCATGGCTCCTCAGATACTGAATCAACTCATACACACCAATATCCAGACTGAGGCTGATAGGTGGCAAGTAAGACTCATGCCCCACAAGTGACATACAATGACCATTCCAACGAGATAATCTAACCATCATACATTTACATTCAATGGCATTACCATCTCTGAATCCTCCACTATCGACATCCTGGGAGTGACCATCAAGTTGAAACTGAACTGCACTAGCTATTCAAATACCGTGACTACAAGAGTAGGTCAGAAGCTGGAAATTTAGTGGCAGGTACCTCGCCCCCTGACTCTCCAAAACCTGT